TGCTTTTCCTTCTCCCACTGGCTGTTCGTCCTAAGTCTCATTGCTGGGCCTCACCTTCTCTTTCTGACCCCTAAAAATCGGGTTGGCCCAGAGCTCAGTCTTCAGAGTGTTCAGCCAGGCTCAGAGCTTAGAGTATGCGAGTCACTTACAAATTCTTATCTGCAGCTCTAGACGCGCATTTCCAACTGTTTCTTTACTGTCTCCACAGGGATGTTTAATAAGCACCGCACACTTAGCATGTCCAAAGGGGACCTCTTGTTCCCTCCCCTGCTGTTCCCCTGCCCAGCTTTCCCCATCTGGGGAAGTGAATGTTATTTCATTATTTAGGTTTCTGCTCAGATAAACCTTTTCTGTCCCATCACCTCAATTTCTCCTCACTCCTTGACTCTGCAGTCACCCTCCTTGAATCTGTCTTGTTTATTGCTATGTTCTCAGGACCTCAGAGGATGCATGACTCCTACTGAGAGGTGAATAAATAAATACTGAATGAAAGAATGAGTGAAAATGAATAACAAAGCAATTTAGCAAAGAATTTGTTAAAGACAGAGGTAGGAGGAAAGAAACTAGTTCAGTTCTGAGAATACTGTCTCTTAAATTATTAATTTTTAATGGGATTGATAAATTCCTTAATGTAGGAATTTTCTTAAGTGAATTTTGCCTTCAGGAACAGCTAAAGCAGTCTAGGGATCTTGAAGAAAAATGTTGACACTTAAGCAGGTTTGGGGTGTTAATAGTAGGAGTTACTGATGAACAAGTATTTTTGCTAAGGTTCAGTTCTGAGATGTTAAATCCAATACTTGATGATAATTATGTTTAAATGGATTTTTAAAGCACAGCAGAATATTAATTATTGCTCCCTGGTCATCAAAATTCATGCTGAAGTTCTCATCCTTTTTGCCCACTGACAATGAAAAAGATGAGTCCAAAGAGCAGATCCACCTCCAGCACCCACTGTCCTCAGGCCTGGGGCATCTGGCTGGAGGAAGGAGGTACTACCGGGAGGCCTCTTTGGAGCTGACGCCTGAGCATTATTTCTTCCACCAGGAGATCAGTAAATGGCCCCTTCCACCTGCTGCCATCCACATTTGGACTTGGGTTATATCATTGATTTTTGCTCCTGCTGGATGAATTTTAATAATCAGTCTCAGGGAGAAAGGAGATGGCATTTTGCATTGCTTCTATGCCAGCTTCTGTTTGCGGGGAGAAAGTCACTGCATCCAAATTTGTATGGTGTCATTTTCCTCCTTTGCAAATTTGATGAGTTGGGGAGCCTCGCTCTTATGAAACATGGGCTTGTTATTCTTTGGCCAGCATCTAGGTGGTGAACTTGTGAAATTTTAAAAACAAAATCCCACTCACCACAGCAAGATGAATAAAGAAACTACAGTGCCATCTGCTGGCATCCTGGGGAAATTCAAGCACTGCCTGGGCCAAGTCCAAACCAGAGGATAAAATTGTATCAAAGTGTGTGATAGTTTAAAGACAGTAGATTAAAAATAATGAAAATATTGTCAGTCATCATTTCAGAGAGGAAAATGCAATTACATTTTGGGATAATGGTGTAGCAGTGGGAGCATACATTTTTCTGCAGTGTACTTTTTGAAGTATTTTGATGACTTTCAGGGAAAGTAAAATTTCACAATTTATGTTTTCACTTATTACATCATCAGTTGTATCCTGAGGTAGTGATATTTGGTCCATAGCAATTAGGTCAAGACTTCTCTAGTCCCGGCCAGGCATGGTGGCTCATGCCTATAATCCCAGCACTTTGGGAGGCCAAGGCAGGTAGATCACCTGAGGCCAGGAGTTCAAGTCCAGCCTGGCCAACATGGTGAAACCCCATCTCTACTAAAAATACAGAAATTAGCCAGGTGTAGTGACACATCCAGGTGTAGTCCCAGGAGGGTGATGCAGGAGAATCGCTTGAACTTGGGAGGCGGAGGTTGCAGTGAGCCGAGATCGAACCACTACACTCTAGCCTGGGCAATAGAGAGAGACTCTGTGTCCAAATAAAAAGGACATCTCTAGTCCTTAGGGTGAGGAGAAAAATACATATGGGGCTCCCTGTGCCTCTGGTGGCCCCTTACAGAAAACATGTTTAACCAGCTGCAGACCCCGGCCCACTGAAGTTAGGTGGGCAGCTGAGTCCCATGACTTGAAATGCAAAGTACAACACAGTAAGATTTTTTTTAAAAATTAAGAATCTAAACTGAGCAGAAACCCTTTTTTCTTTCTAAAGGATTTCCTGCCTCAGTCCCAGCCAACTAACTTGTTCTTATTTTGCTCCCACTTCTCCCATGGCCCTGAGCACGTTACATTTGCTGCTTCTCTTCCTCATTCTTCTCCTTCTCCCCTCCCCCAGCTTTTTTGTTCCTGTCTTCCTCCATCCCTCACCTGTGGGTCCCCTTTCTTCCTGTGCATCCATGTACCTTACTTGTGCTGTTGTTCAGTACATTTTGGCTGAATGATTTAAATTTTGAAATGGCTACCTCCTAAAAGCCTTGCAGGTAAATACAGGTATTTTCATTTTTGTGTGGATAGGAGGAAGGAGAGTAGGTCCTAGCCATGTTTTGGCACAATTTGGTGATGAGATTTTCCTTACGTGTTCTGTATTCACAGCTCAGGAATAAGGGGAAATAACTAGAATTCAAATCTAGCTCTTGTCCTTTGCAGCGGTTTCTCCCCTGATTCTGTTCTTAGCTCTGATTCTCCCTTAGTTTACAATAGAAAGCTTTCAGATTTTTGTGCTGGTCACCAACAGTTCTCTGCACTCACATGTGGAGAATGGTGGTGCTTGCTGGGCATGGGCCTGCCACTCAGAAATGGCACCCAGTGGTCAGCCCACACCAGTGCAGCTACACCAAAGGATGGTGGCTTATTAAAGGCGGCTCTGCATGAAAAAGCCTCCCTCCCCTCTCTCTGGTCACCTTAGATTCTCAAGGTCCTTTTATCCAAAAGGTAGGCAGAAAATCACTTTAGGTGATTAGGATGTTCAATTCTTCTTCCTCTGAATGAGACAGTCTCATTTCAGTCACCCAGTTTGGAGGTCAGTGGTATGATCATAGCTGACTACAACCTCGAACTCCTGGGCTCAAGTAGTCCTCCTGCTGCAGCCTCCTGAGTAGCTAGAACTAGAACTATAGGTGCATGTCACTATGCCCAGTTAAACTTAAAAAAAAAAAAATTTTTTTTAAGAGATGATATCTCACTATGTTGCCCAGTCTGCTCTCCTACTGTCTCAGCCTTTCCTCTAATGTTTTCAGTGTGACTCATACCTGGCCTCCCACTTTCTTATCTTCCCAAACCTTCAGATGCAAAAATCACCTCTTCCATCTTCCTTCCTGGCGGTGAACTTGTACTGAAGATTCAGGTTTAAATCCCCCAAGTGTCTGAGTCTGTTCTGATGCAGGTGCCTTCTTTCTGGTTTCCCTTGGCTGCAAGCCCAAGGATACTGTATTTTCCTTCTGGGATTTGGACACACCTAATGAAAGATTTTGTTCCACCCTCTACTGTTTCCCCCCCCTTTTTTTTTTTTTTTTTTTTGAGAGACACAGTTTCACTCTGTCGCCCAGTCTGGAGTGCAGTGGCGCGATCTTGGCTCACTTCAACCTCTGCCTCCCAGATTCGAGCAATTCTCCTGCCTCAGCTTCCCAAGTAGCTGGGATTATGAACCTGTGCCACCAAGCCTAGCTAATTTTTGTATTTTTAGTAGACATGGGGCTTTGCCATGTTGTCCAGTCTGGTCTCAAACTCCTGACCTCAAGTGATCCGCCCCCCTCGTTCCCTTTTTGATACAACCAGTTTTAACTTTCTTTGGTTTTCCCGCTTTCTTTCTTTAAATTTTGTTTATCTTAAGTTTTTTTCTGGAGAAATGTTTAATGAACTGGTTTTGGGCTGTGTACACTTTTCAGATTATTTGGGTTAGTCTGTATCTGCCTTCACAAACTGGCAGCCAAAGGTGTTGGGGTGGCGGGGGGGAGGGGGGTCCAAATTTGATGCCCAGACATGTATTGATTGATTTGGACACATTTTTTAAAATATTGGTTTATTTGCCATCACTTAAAAATGTTAGAGCTCTCATATAAAAATACAGATTTCTGGCCGGGCACAATGGCTCACACCTGTAATCCCAGCACTTTGGGGGGCCGAGGCAGGAGGATTGCATGAGGTCAGGAGTTCCAGACCAGTCTGGTCAACATGGTGAAACCCCATCTCTACTAAAAATATAAAAATTAGCCAGGCGTGATGGTGCATACCTATAATCTCAGCTACTTGGGAGGCTGAGACAGGAGAATCGCTTGAACCCAAGGAGGCGGAGGTTGCAATGAGCTGAGATCATGCCACTGTACTCCAGCCTGGGCAATAGAGCAAGACTCTGTCTCAAAAACAAAAACAAAAACAAAATGCAGATTTCTGGCTTCTCTTTGAACATTGGAAGATTCAGCAGGATAGACATTGCACTTGCCAACTGGCAGCAACCAACTGGAGGAACTATGTACTGGCCACCCCCTCTATTAAGGGCACTCAATATCCTTGTTGTGGGTCTCTCACCCGCCTCCCTGCCCCCTTCATTTTCCTAGAGCCAACCACTGTGCTTATCTGCAGGCCCAAGTGGCATTTGTGGTGCTGAGTTTATGTTTTCATTATTATTTGCTTTCTCTTTTCCTCTTCCACAAGAGACTTCCCAATGGCAGTAACTTCACTGTATTAATAGTTCACAGAATGAAAGGCACTTCCACGATCTAGTGAAGTCTGTCTTCTTCATTTAATGTTACAGGTCTCACCTTCGAGTGAGTCTTTAATAAATGTCGGCAAATGGCACCTGAGTCTATTTCTAGGAAGTCAGCAGACGGGTAGAAAAAGCCAGTGGTAAATAGCCTGTAACAGTTTCCCTGGCTGTATTAAGTAGTATTGATGCTGGGTCAAACTAGTTAGGAGGATTTTCAGTTCTCCCATGAAAGCAAGGCTCCCTGGTAATCTGATTTGTTTTTCTTTTCTAGGAACCCTCTTCATAAATCAAACTCGGAAGACAACTCTGTAGGTCAGTACCACTTTTCTTGGTTTACCTATTTAATTATTTTAATACTTTATAGAAAACATGAACATGTGAAAATACAAAACCCACAATAATCCTTCTACTCAGAAATAAACACTGTTACGATTTTGATGTACATCTTTATTCTCCTTTTTCTAGGGGATTTTAAAAAAACATAATTGTGATCATATTCTGCATACTGTTTTATAGTTTTTAAGTTGAATACGTTATGAGCATTTTCCCATGACTGAATATTCTCTATGTTAATAGAGAAAAAATTAGAAGCAACCTAAATATCCAGCAAAGAACGAGTTGGTTAATTAACTTATGGCACATCCAATATGGTGGAATATTACGCAGACTTAAAAATTTACTGCTGCTCTAAAAATCCTGGGGTCTGTGTCCCTAATAATGTCCTTAGGATACATCTTTCAATTGGGAATTTTTTGGATCCAAGATTATGCATAATTAAGGCATTGCATATTTTATATATTCTTGATTATCAAATTCACTCTTGGTTTAGTAACAGCTATTCTGTTTGGGTCAGAGGGTGGGTGGCTGGTAGTGATTAGGGACATAAGTACTCAATCAAACCTGGCTGCCTGCCTTTGAATCTGCCAACTCAATAGCTATTACTTTGTGCAGCTCGCTTGCACCAAGCCTCAGTTTTCTCATCTGCTAGGTGGGAACAATGATGCATCATATAATTGAGTATTAAATGAAATTTGCCATTAGATAGCAAAGTGCCTGGATATAGTAGCTGAATAAATGTTAGCTATTACCATTTATTAGGCTGTATCTCTGTTTCAGAAACTTGAAAATGGGAGAAGGAAGAAGGGAATATAGCTTATAGTTAAAGAAATATATTCTCAGCCTGTTCAGTGGCTCACTTCTCTTATCCCAGGAATTTGGGAGGCCAACGAGGGAGAATTGCTTGAGCCCAGGAGTTACAGACTGACCTGAGCAACATAGCAAGATGTGCTCTCTACCAAAAATTTAAAAATTAGCTGGGCATGGCAGTATGCACCTGTAGTCCCAGCTACTTGGGAGGCTGAGATGGGCGGATCCCTTGAGCCCAAGAGTTTGAGGCTACAGTAAGCTGTGATTGCACCACTGCACTCCAGCTTGGATGAAGAGACCATGTCTCTTAAAAGGAAAATAAATAGGCTGGATATGGTGGCTCACATCTGTAATCCCAGCACTTTGGGAGGCCAAGGCGGGTCATGACGTCAGGAGTTCAAGACCAGCTGCGCCAATATGATGAAACCCCATCTCTACTAAAAATACAAAAATTAGCCGGGCGTGGTAGCTTGTGCGTATAATCCCAGCTACTCAGGAGGCTGAGGCAGGAGAATCACCTGCACTCAGGAGGCAGAAGTTGTAGTGAGCCAAGATTGCACCACTGCACTCCAGCCTGGGCGACAGAGCAAGACTTCGTCTCAACCAAAAAAAAAAAAAAAAAAAGAAAAGAAAAAGAAGAAAGAAAAGAAATATTCCTGAACTCTCCAAGAGCAAGGTTGAGTTAATAATAACTAGTCAGCTTTAACCCTGCATGTCTGACATTTGCTTCAGTGTTAAGCCCAAAGGCAGTGGGTGATACAAAACTTGCCATGGAGCTCTGTCTTTGGTGGAAAGGCTCCGGTTTCATTCCCACAGCTCTGGGGGCTGTCAAAACTTAAATGTGCGGGCATCCTGTTTTGACAGACGACGCCCTTTCTAGCCTGGGAGCACCATAGACATGGTTCCCACATGTCTGCTTCATTGCTTGGCACCACCCGTCTAGACTGGGGAAACCCATCACTTCGCTGGGTCCTATTTCCAGTGGCCATGGAGCAACCAGACAGACAACAAGTGGTGACAGAGCTGCTACTTTGAATGTGCCACGTCAGCACGATGGCAGACACCACTGCTGCTGCTTTTTATTTGTAAAGAATAAAGGACTGCTCTACCCACTCATTTTACTTACTCTCCCCTTTCGCTTTGCTTTTAAAAAGGTATTACATGTTATTGATGATCAGAACCCTACCACATATTAAAAATGTCTAGCTCTAGCAGCGAGTTTGTTTTCACTTGAAAGTCACCGCAGTAGTCTGGAAAGGATGGGGGGCGGGGCGGGTAGAGAGAGACCCATTTGGGAGATGTCACGGCTGGATTGCAGGCTTTCTTTTCTTTGTGCCCTGGGTAAGCTGTAAGTGGGTCACCAGGTAGCCTGAATGCCAGGGAGTGCCATATGCATGCCATAGCGAGACCCATGCAGACCACACTTCTGAGAATAACAGTGGGGGCCAGACCCACAGACCCAGGGGACCACCTCCCCTGACCTGTGGGCCCAGGACATACCAACCATTCTGTTCTTGTCGTTAAATCTGGAGTAACAGAAATAAACCAAGGGTAGATCAACAACAGAAATAACAACAAAACAAAGTGAGCTTCTTAAAATACCCTATTTGTGGTGTAGTTGAAATAATTGTGGCTAAGACCAAAGGGGGGATATACACTGCAAGACGAGGCCAAATTAGGCATACTAGTTAAACAAACATCAAAGTAAACACAAGAATGCATGTTTTGCCTGCCTTTTTGATGTTTCTGTTTTTCATCTTAACCTCACTGCACCATATCTTGCTACTAGGAAATTTGCATTTCTTTTAAACAACTTTATAGCCATCTCCCATTCTTTCACAAACTGAAAGAAAAAACTGTCCTTTTGTGAAATCAAAGTATTCTTACCAGCTTTGAATTATAAGGAAGAGGCTACTTTTGTTATTAATGAATTTATTGCTTGTGCTTTTTCTTCCTTTTTTTTTTTTTAAAAGGAAAAGGAGACTGGAAGAAGAAAAATAAGTATTTCTGGCAGAACTTCCGAAAGAACCAGAAAGGAATAATGAGACAGACTTCAAAAGGTACTGCAATGCAGCTGGCAGACAGTAGGTCCTTTCAGCTCTAACATGTGGAGAAGCCTGTGCTGTTAATCTCAGTGGATGCTGTAAGTTAGCGTAACTCACCGCATGTGCCCATAAGATGTTCAACTTTTCTGACATTCCTGTTGTTACTTTAAGACTTTGTCCCAGTGATTTTCTTTTCTTTAAGTCAAAAAAAAAAAAAAAAAAAACCAAAAGGGGACAAGTTCACAGTTCTTCCCTTTCGTAGATCTGAGAGCAGAGGCCGAATCTTTAGTTTTCTCAGTCGCACCAACCTCAGAAAGATCTTTTCTCTCGTCAAGATCTAGCCTGAAAGGGCCTAGAGAGCCCTCGCATGTGTTGGTTTGGGGCTCTCCTGTCCGCGCTCCCACTGAGGGCCTCTGCATTCTTCTGAACTTCTGATGCTCTCCTGCAGCTGGACGGTTATGGGGTGTTGCCCCTGGAAACTCCAGTGGTCTGACATCATGGGAATTTGCCTGGGCGGCTTTGTGAAGGGAGTTCTGCCCTACTCTTGGCTGTGTCTTTTGTTGTTGTTTATATAGTAAGTAAATATGTCATCCCTTTGAGGCTCAGTTACATAATTTATGTTTCCCCAGTATTCAGAGAAGAAACCGGAGCAAATCCACTTCCAGATTCCAGTCCAACTGAATGAGGTTATCAGTAGATATAAAATTTTCCTTGATCACCAGTGACACTACTTGTTTTGCTTTACAAACCTTAGTGTCCTGCGCTGTGTGGAACGTCTATCTAATTACCTGTATACGTGGAAATGAGAAAAATGGATGTGAACAGTAGACACGTCACAGCACACCTGGGTTCCTTGGCAACATTCCACATGGTTTTTTTTCCTCAAGTTGTCCTACTTTTAAGCATTCCCAGTTTTTTGTATTCACCCAGCATCACTTGTGATTCAAAATAAACCTTGGATTCTAAAAAAAAAAAGTCTAATTTAGAAAGAAAGCTAAGGAGAAAGGGAGAGGTACAAGAGGGAGGGAAGGAGGAAGCCAACAGTTTACCAGCTATCGTGAATTTTTAAAGAACCCAACCAATTTCCCATCACCCTCTCTGCCATTTGAGGTGACACAGACAGTAAAATGAATCAAACCAGCAGGCTTCTGTCTTCACCCAGCACACACTGTTATTCTCCCTGTGAAAGTAGCAAAGGGAACTTGAGGAGTATTTTTGGATTGATTGATTACTAAATGGAAATGAGATGGAAATACAGGGCAACATAAATTCCAAAGTCAGCTGTGCCTGAAATGGTTTCCTGCAAGTCTACAGGCAGACTCTTTCCCTCTGTCCTTTACACCAAAGGCAAATTAAGCCACAGCTGGGCATCCTAACGGTATTGGAAGCTGGTAAAAAGATTGAATGAGAAAGATGGGGAGGAGAGCAGGGTGCGGGACTGGAGTGGGGATGTTACAGCTCATGTTCACTAACATGTCCTTCCCCACACGCTGACCGGAGGCACCATTGCCCAGTGTGGCTCAGATATACTAGAGGCAATAGCAGTCTGTTTGCTCTGTAGGAAAATCTTTGGAATCTAACAGAACATTCTCATCTCTGCAGTTCTAGCTGCCTTCAGGTGTGAGTTGGAAGTTGATTTTCCCGCAGTTTGGAAACCAATTTATGACAATAATACTTTCAGATACAGACCTATATGGCACCCTTCTTCTGATTAACTGAACATGCTTCATGTCTGTGATTTGCACTTGGCTTTTTTTTTTTTTTTTTTTTTGTCTTCAGATGGAGTCTTGCTCTGTCACCTAGGCTGGAGTGCAGTGGTGTGATCTCAGCTCACTGCAACCTTCACCTCCTGGGTTCAAAGCAATTCTCCTGCTTCAATCTCCTGAGTAGCTGGTATTACAGGTACCTGCCACCACACCTGGCTAATTTCTGTATTTTTAGTGGAGACGGGGTTTCACCTTGTTGGCCAGGCTGGTCTCGAACTCCTGACCTCAAGTGGTCCACCTGCCTTGGCCTCCCAAAGTGCTGGGATTACAAGAATGAACCTCTTCGCCCGGGTGCACTTAGTTTCAAGGAATAATAACAGTGAAATAGCTTAGTAGGATTGGAAGGTTTTGCCAGGCTGTGGGTCTGGACTCTGTGACCTTCCTTCCTCTGTCATGACCTAGGGTTCTTTCTTACTTCTTTGCAAAAATATTTTCTTCTCATTTATATTCAAATGAAAGGACACAGAGAACCCACAGCTGAAGGAGCCTTGGAATGCTTGTATGATCCAGTTGGGTGTATAAATTAGATCTTTACTCCACCTATAGTGAGGAGCTCTCTCTTACTTTCCTCCAAAACCCGTCCACTGGGCACACCATCTCAAAGGCTCTGATCATCTTGAAGGATTTGTTTCTAGGGTGACATGGTGAGATCCACATGTTCTGCAAGCCTGTTTCTCAATCAGAGGTGCTTATTCGCTTCTTTAAAAGCAGCATATTTTTCCCACCCTTTGCTTCATCAGTAACGTTCAACATACATAGTGTCCTGAGCAACATTCTTCCCTCGCCTAAGACAGCAGATATTCAGCATTGACGTTCTGTTTCGCTGTTCTTGTTTTCACTCCTGTTATTCTTTGTCCTCAATCTCCAGGAGAAGATGTTGGTTACGTTGCCAGTGAAATAACAATGAGCGATGAGGAGCGGATTCAGCTAATGATGATGGTCAAGGAAAAGATGATCACGATTGAGGAAGCACTTGCCAGGGTAAGCATGCAGATACCTGGTTTATATTTGTGAGGACTTGACTTCCTGAAGTGTAAAAATGTTTGGGGCCATCAAGGGGTATAGTTATCAGGTACCCGTGTTGTCAGATAAAATATTTATTCTGTTTACTTGATACAAGCATTCTACTTTGCGAGGTGAAACTTCTATAGTCAATGAAAACATGAACGAATGAATGAATGGCAGATATATTTGATCTGTGGACCACATTAACGGGAAAAATTCACAAGCCTTTTGAAAAGAACATAATCAGTGGTAAAAGATTAATTATTAAATAAAAATCAAATATGCTAAAAACATTGCAAACATCAGGTTTGGTTTTGTTGTTGTTGTTGTTGTTGTTGTTGTTGTTGTTGTTTGAGATAGGATCTCACTGTATTTCCCAGACTGTAGTGCAGTGGTGCGATCACAACTCACTGCAGCCTCAACCTCCTGGGCCCAAGCAATCCTCCCATGTCAGCCTCCTGAGTAGCTGGGACCACAAGTGTGTGACACCACACCCAGCTAATTTTTAAATTTTTTACAGAGACAGAGTCTCCTCATGTTGCCCAGGCTGGTCTCAAACCTGTGGGCTCAAGTGATACTCTCCCTTCGGCCTCCCAACATGTTAGAATTACAGGTATAAGCAAGCACACCTGGCCTATAAATATCAGTTCTATAAGATGCCTTCACAAACTGAATTTTGAATAATCTAAAGGTTATACTTACTTTCATATCTAAGTAAATATTAATTATAATTTGTTGTGTTTGTTTTTTGTTTTTATTTTTATTTCCCTCTGAGTTAAGTTAGGCACTACAAGAAGCCTAATTAACCTTTAGGATACTAGAGCAGCAGTTATACTAGTAAGGCAGCAATTTATTAAGAGATTCCCTGCTTTGTTGTTGAAAAACAAACCCATTGATTCTTGAATTTTCACTTTGAACAGCTGGTTCAGTACTGTGCAGATAAGTCCCAAATAAACAGGTTTGGAAATTGACAAAAACCTTCAAACCACCAAGGAAACATTGAATGAGTTAAGACTTTACCATTGTCTTGTTCCATTTTGTGCTGCTGTAACAGAATACCACAGATTGCATAATTCATCAAGAACAGGAATTTATTGGCACACAGTTCCGGAGGCTGGGAAATCTAATGTCAAGGGGCCCCAGCAGGTTTGATGTCTGGTGAGACTATGCTCTCCTATGATGACGCCTTGTGTACCATGTCATCTGCAGGGGAGGAAGGCTGGATGCTTATAAGCCAGAAGGAGGAATGCCAGGAAGCTAAAGGGGGCAAACTTGCCCATTTATAATAACAGTAATACTACCCTATCACCTCCCAAAGTTTCATCTCTTAATACCACCACACCAGCTACCAAATTCTCACCATCAGCTTGGGGAGAGACAAACATTCAACAGGTAGAAACCATAATATTCAACCTATAGCAACCATTGAGTGGAATCTTAAAGGTCTGAAACCTTGAAACAGTGGCACACATGTACTCAGTTTAGTTTAATATACAGTAGTTCCCTCTTACATGCAAGGGATGTGTTCTAAGACCCCCAGTGAATGCCTGAAACTGCAGATGGTACCAAACCCTATACATACTGTGTATGTTTTTTCTTATGTTCCTATGCATACATGTCCATGGTAGAGCTTAATCTATAAATTAGACATAATAAGAAATTAACAACAATAACTAAAAATAAAATAGAACAATTATAACAGTATCCTGTAATAAAAGTTATGTGACAAAGATGTCCATTTTCACCACTGTTTTTCAACATAGTACTGGAAGTCCTAGCTATAGCAATCAGGCAAGAGAAAGAAATAAAAGAGAACCAAAGACTCCACTGAAAAACTATTAGAACTGATAAATTAAGTAAAGTTGCAGGCTACAAAATCAACACATAAAAATCAGTAGCATTTCTATATGCCAGCAATACATAATCTGAAAAGAAATCAAGAAAGTAATCCCATTTATAATAGCTACAAATAAAATACCTAAGAATAAACTCAACCAAAGAAGTGAAAGCTGTCATTGTGAAAGCTTTCATTATAATGAAAACAGTAAAACATTGATGCAAGAAAAGGACACCAAAAAGAAAAAAGAAAAAAGAAAAAAGGAAAACTATTCCATGTTCATGGATTAGAAGGATCAGTATCATTAAAATGGCTATACTGTCCAAAGCAATCTACAGATTCAGTGCAATCCATATCAAAATACCAATGACATGCTTCACAGAATTAGAAGAAATAAACTTACACTTTGGGAGGCCGAGGTGGGCAGATCATTCGAGATCAGGAGTTCGGGACCAACCTGGCCAACATGGTGAAAGCCCGTCTCTACTAAAAATACAAAAATTAGCCAGGCGTGGTGGTGCCTGTCTGTAGCAAGCTACTTGGGAGGCTGAGGCAGAAGAATGGCTTGAATCGGGGAGGTGGAGACAATGAGCCAAGATCGTTCCATTGAACTCCAGCCTGGGTGAGAGAGTGAGAATCCATCCACCCCCACCCCCCAAAGAAAAAGAAAGAAGAAAAAATAATCTTAAAATGTATATTGAACCACAGAATACATAGAATAGCCAAAGCCATCCTGAGCAAAAAGAACAAAACTGGGGGAATGACATTAACTGACTTCAAATCTATACTGTGGAGCTGTAGTAACCAAACAGCATGGTCCTGGCATAAATCAGACATATAGACCAATGGACTAGAATAGGAAGCCCGGAAATAAACCCATCCATCTACAGTGAACTCACTTTCAACAAAGGTACCAAGAATATACATTGGGGAAAGAACAATCTCTTCAATAAATGGTGCTGGGAAAATTGGATATTCATATGCAGAAGAATGAAACTAGACCCCTCTCTCTTGCCATATAGAAAAATCTAATCAAAATGGATTAAAGACAAATCTTTAAGACTCAACTATGAAACTAGTAAAAGAAAACATTGAGGAAATTCTCCAGGATATTGGACTGGGCAAAAATGTCTTGAGTGATACCCTAAAAGTACAGGCAGCTAAAACAAAAATGGACAAATGGGATCACATCATGTTAAAATGCTTCTGCACAGCAAACAAAGCAATCAGCAAAGTGAAAAGACAACCCACATACTGGGAGAAAATATTCGCAAACTACCTGTCGGACAAAGGATTAATAAACAATATATGTGGAACTCAAACAACTCAATAGGAAAAAATCCAATAATCTAATTTAAAAAATGGAGAAAATATCTGAATAGACATTTCTCAGAAGACGTACAAAGGGAAAACAGACATGTGAAAAGGTGCTCAACATTATTGGTCATCAGAGAAATGCAAATCAAAACTACAATAAGATATCATCTCACCCCAATTAAAATGGCTTTGTGGTACAGAGTCTCACTCTGTCACCCAGGCTGGAATGCAGTGGCGAGATTTTGGCTCAGTGGGTTCAAGGGATTCTCCTGCCTCAGCCTCCCTTAAAAGCTGGGATCACAGGTGCCTGCCACCACATCTGGCTAATTTTTTTTTTTTTTTTTTTTTTTTTTTGAGATGCAGTCTCGCTCTGTCACCCAGGTTGGAGTGCGGCACAATCTTGGCTCACTGCAACCTCCACATCCCAGGTTCCAACAATTCTCCTGCCTCAACCTCCTGAGTAGCTGGGATTACAGGTGCCCACTACCATGCCTAGCTAATTTTTGTATTTTTAGTAGAGACAGTGTTTCACCGTGTTGGCCAGGCTGGTCTCGAACTCCTGACCTCAGGTGATCCACCTGCCTTGGCGTCCCAAAGTGTTGCGATTACAGGTGTGAGTCACTGCGCCTGGCCTAAAATGGCTTTTATCCAAAAGACAGGCAATAACAAATGCTGTTAAGGATATGGAGAAAGGGGGACCCTCATATATTGTTGATGAGAATATAAATTATTACAGCCACTATGGAGAACAGTATGGAGGTTCCTCATGATACAAAAAATAGAACTACCGTATGATGCAGCAATCCCACTGCTAGTATCTATCCAAAAGAAGGGAAGTTAGCATAGAGCTATGTGCTCTGTCATGTTTTATTGCAGTGCTGTTGACAATAGCCAAGACTTGGAAGCAACCTAAGTGTCCATCAACAGATGAATGGATTAAAAAAATGTGATACATATACACAGTGGAACACTACACAGCCATAAAAAAGAGTGAGTTTCTGTCATTTACAACAACATGGATGGAAGTGGAGGACATTATGTTAAGTGAAATAAGCCAGGCACAGAAAGTCAAACTGCACAAGTTCTCACGCATTTGTGGGAGGTAAAAATTAAAACAATTGAACTGATGGAGATAGAGAGTAGAATGATGGTTACGAGAGCCTGGGGATGGTAGTGAGGAGGTGAGGGGAAGTATGGATGGTTAATGGGTATGAAATGAATGACGAATGAAGAATGAATAGCATCCAGGATTTGCTAGCACAACAGGGTGACTACAGTCAACAATAATTTGTTGTACATTTAAAAATAACTAAAAGATTATAATTGGAATGCAGATGAGCAGGTCGGTGCTGGGGCAGGTGGTAGAGTGGGTGGCAGGTGAAAGTGACAGCCTCCTGTCCATGCTGCTCATCTCCTGCACCTTCATCCTCAGCCTGGTCTGCTTTGCCACAACAGTAACCACCTAGCCCAGCTGCCGGCTGGTGCAAAATGCTCATCGTATGTTTTCTCTCCCATTCCATTCCTTGGGCATGCCATACATTTGGGAAAAGTTCAATTGAGTTTCTAGAAAGTGCATATGAGAAGTACGGGCATATGGGAAGTATGGACCGTATTTAGTTTTTCTGTGATAAGCAAGACATTTGCTCCTGGAGAGAGATGTGACTGCACCACTACTTTTTTTAATATTTTATTTTATTTTATTTTCTGAGATGGAGGTTTGCCCAAGCTGAAGTGAGGTAGCATGATCTCGGCTCACTGCAACCTCCACCTCCCGGGTTCAAGTGATACTTCTGCCTCAGCTTCCTGAGTAGCTGGGATTATA